GTGTGGTAATGCTGGGTGTGTTTCAGGCCCTCCTCTTTCAAAGCCCCGAGAAGATTCATTCCCCATTAATTGCAAGGGGGCTTGATGTTGCTGAGAAACTTTGCAGAGTTACTGAAGAATCTGCGGGATTGGGCACTGAACTTGCAGGAACAGGATAACAGAGCCACCCCTCCTTAAAATTTAAGGCTTTGGCACTGCATTTTGCTTTACAGCAGATGGGTCAGCGGGGTGGATGGGTGGGGTGGCCGACGGCTGACGTGACATCCAGCTGCTGTTCCCGTGACATCCAGCTGCTGGCGGCCGTTCCCGCGGGCCCGGGCTGGCCGTGAGGCCGTTCGTGCCCCTGCTCCGCTGTGCGGCCGCTCCGTGGGGCTGCGCGTGCGGGAAGGGCTGGAGCCACCGCCTGAGGGGTCATGGCTCCTCCCAAGGCTCCCTCCCTCCTTTACCCCTCCTGTCCCTCTGTCACCTTCTCTCTCCTGACCCCCAGCTTTGCCCTGTCCTCTGCCTCCCTCCCTCACCCCTTCCCGCCCTTGTCCCCCACCTCTCGTCCCCTTCCCACGCTCTGTTTCCCCCTTTCCAGAAGTGAGAGCGCCATCTTGTCACAAACTCCCAGGCACAGAGATGTCCTAACAAAAACTGTCAGTTCTGAGGCAGCCCCAGGACCTCCTGTTGCAGGAGATTCCTCTGAATCCCTCCCAAGAGGGAGCGTCCTGACCTACCCCTCTTGGGCATCCATTGCTAAGCAGACTCCTTGTTGCTCTCCCTTTCCTGGTGTTTTCAGACACGGACTTGCAACCCAACCTTTGCTTTTCTGGTTCCCAGCATAAAACCTCTATGAAAAAAAGGTAGGAAAGCTAGTGTGCAAAATGAAACTATTGCAGAAAGAAGAAATTTTCATGGCTCAGAAGATGAGAATTGGGATAAGGTCCAAGCAAGAATCCTGATTTGTAGTGTTCAAAACACTTAGAAAACACGTTTTACTCCTTTTGCAGTACGTTCTTTAAGTCTGATATTCAGTGAACAGGTTTTTGCTTCTAAAAATGTTTCTTGGAGGAGGGTGGTTTAAGAGAAGGATACTCAGAGAGAAATATGAATGTATTTGGGGGTCTAAGTGTTTTCAATCATTTGTGATATAAAGGATCTAATGTAATGGCAGTCTTAGCCTCTCCATCCTAGCTAGGGTCCATGCACATTTCATTTCTAGCTAATATGTGGCTTGGGAGTAAGCGATAACTGAAGATAAAATTGCTTTGGGCCAAATTCTGCTGTCTTTAATTGAGCAAAATTCCAATTGACGTCAGTGGCAGTTTTACTCAATTAAAGACAGCAGAATTTGGACTTTTATCAGCAAGAAGAATGCTGCTATTCTGTCCCCCTTTGGTAGTCTGGTTGTACCTAATTAGATTCTGCAAGCTTCCTAATACATAAAAGTATGCTTTTGTCATGGGTGCACTTGTTTTAATATTAAAGAAGGAAAGGAAAAAATACCTGAATCTTTCACTTTTTAGTGACAGAAGAAAAGGCTGGTTAATGAAATTAGTCTAAAAACAGGATGAAGAGTCTGATGTATGCAGATGTGCATACAAAACGTGCAAAATCACAAAACAGAAAACAAATACACAGTAACGGTGGGGCTCTGTTTTGCCCGAATTCTTTTTGATTTGACGCCTCCTAAAATTTTGAGGTGTTTTGAAGTATCTATATTTGGGGTTAATGTGGTTTACTGCTTTGACGTGGGAGATTAGGTTATTCTTGGATCATATTTTTGAGCTTTCCCCTGCAACCAAAAGGGGAAGAAATATGTATTTACATGAATGATGAGGATCTAATGCGATTTTTTTGACTTCAGGAGTTGGGACTTTAAGAAAAACATAATGTCTCGCATTCCTGTGATAAAGTACTTAAGTTGGCAATAGCGAAGTTAGAAGAAATTAAAAGGTAAAATGAGAAAGGGAAGGAAGGGGAATGCAGGACTCAGAGGGGTCCATAGATGTTACGAAGCAGTTGTTTTCTGGTGAATACGATGTGCATAAATCTTCTGGGGTTCAAAATTTTTTTCCTGTTCATATTTGTATGTTAGTTTCACAGGAGAAAGGGCCTTGTGTGGAGATGGCAGCCAGGCATAGGGAGCGAAAGGGAAGCCCCCCGGCTTCTCCAGCTCAGAGAAGTTTATCTTTTATTTGCTTTCCTTCCTGGGAGAAACATTTTGTTTCTCCTGGGAGAGAACACTGAGTGGTCTGCAGGGCTGATGGAGTAATTCGGATTTGTACTGTGCTGCCAGTGTTGCTTTACTCTTTACTTGAAAATAGGACTTACTCCTCCTAAGTCAGCAACTTGCATTTTGAAGGCCTGCAGCCTTGATTTCTAGTCAAAACAGTTTGTCACCTGATGTGTAGGGCTGTTGTAAATCAAAATTATTTTAGCTGAAGATGCCGCTCAGGGTGAGGGCCATGTCAGGAAGCGGCCGTGTCGGGGAAGACCGGCACAGCCCTGGGTGCCGGGAGGAGAATCCCACCCGGCCAGCAGGATTGGGCTGTGCACGTTGCAGGATGCGCTAGTGCAGGGCTGCCTGTAAAATCAGAGGCTGTTTCCTGCTTGGAATTTCCTGGTTTTGTTTATTATAAGCTCCTTTATTAAAAGGAGGTGCTGTGCCTTTAAGTAGCACATGCTGTCTAACCATCACCAGGCATCTCTCGCGGGCTGCGCTAGCCTGTTTCTCCAATCATGCCTGCCTAAGTCAATACGGCACTGCCAAACCTCCTCGTGCATTAAAGGTTACCTTTTAGCTCGCTCCATGAATCAGAGCAGATGCATAACTTGGCAGTGACCATTTCTGTCCCTCCCCTTCTTCGCTTCCTCCTGACTGCAGCCCCCCAGCTCTCCGCTGGCTGAGCCCCCTCCCCCAGCGGGGAGAAGTCATTACAGGAGGAGATCAACTTACCAGTTGTCTCCAGAGCAGAGGCGAGAGCAGCAAAGCTCCTGCTAGTACAGTGAGTGAGCCGGAGAGGGGACGGGAGGAGGAGAGCGCTACCTGGAAGAGCTCAGGGTTGTCATACTGAGGCACAAGTGCATCTGCTAGCTGCTAGGACTTGGCAGAGGGCTTTCTCCTGCAGGGTAGCTCTGACTTCGGGTGATAATGTTTGTCAGCTACCTGGTACTAACGTTGCTCTACTCTCAGACAGCAGTGTTAGCAAGACCTGGGGGAGAGGTAAGCAAAGTATGTCTGTCAAAAACTGTCCTCTTGTCAGAGGGAAATTTTCTTCCTGTCTCTTAGGAGGGGACGTGAGGGGTTTCTGTGGGCGAGCGCTTCAGGCTGGCTTTGTCTGCCTCGTGTGCGGAGGGCTCTCTGCTTCTGCGGGCTCTGCAGGTACTGCAGAAGCTGCGTATCGGGAAGGTAGCTGCCTCGCGGCCGCTCGAGCTCACTTGTCTGTGCCAGGTGACTGCGGTGTGTGAATATTCCTTTGCTAACATACAGAGAAAGTAGATCCTTGTTGCAGCAGTAGCTGGTAGTGCTGTATTCAGATTTTGTAGGAAAAAAACAGTGTGCATAGTGGAAAAAGTTTTTACTTCTGGTGTTTTTTGGGGGGGGGGGGGGGATTTGGGTAGGTAGAAACTCCATGTCCTATAACTTAAGAACAACTTTTTTTTTTTTTTTCCCTGTATATGTATGTATTTTTTAGTATCTGTATTGTTATTTTAGCAGGGCAAACAGAATAGCATCTGTTTTAAAGCATCTGTTTTCACATCATTGAGGGATTTCATGCATTCTTAATATGAAAAATTTAAGTGATGGAATAAAACAGCCCTTTCGGTGCTCTACAAAGTCGCTACTTGATTTATGAAGAGCAGTTTTCCAGATTTCTGTTCTGATCAGGGCAGTTTTTCATCAGGTCCTTGTTTCATACCAAAGCAGAAAATTTCAGCTACTCATTTGTCATTTGGGAAATAATTCATCAAGCATAAGTACTATTTGATACAAAATATTCCAGTTTATGAAGTCTCTGGCAGCAAGCACTCCTGGTACATTTGATACTTGTTCTCCCTCACTCTTTAACTGAAATGTAATGCACATTTATGTATTTCAAAGGAGTATTTGGATAGTTGTATTCCACAATCTGTGTTTTCTGTTTATGAACTGCCTTGCAAAGGAGCTAAGCGGGAAGTAAATCTTCTCAAAATGGTGCTTCTGCTCGAGAGCTTTGTCTTTTGTTAGCTCGGTCATAAGTTGCTACAAGCCTAATAAAGCCGAGAGCAATTGCTTTCCCTGGTAAAAGAAAGTGGAAGTGAACTGCAAAAAAAACATCTCGAGTCCAAAGCTGTGTGGTTAAGGCTCTCTATAACTCATGTGCCTTTACACAGAGTGTATTTTGCTTTCAGTGCTCCAAAAAGAGGGTCTGTAATAGTCATGATTGCAGAAAATGTTCATTTTAATGAAATCTGGTGCTGTCTTTGATCTAATTAAAAGAAAGAAGGAAAAATATCTAGACAGAGGCTCAGGGAACTTAGGGTTGATGGTTACAGTGACTGAAGGCTGATCATTGCCCTCTAGTTGTCGCTGGAGTTTCTAACTTCCAGGTTGATTGTTACTGAGCGTAGAAACTCATGGATGGACTCACCTTATCCAGGCTGAGGGACCTTAAAATGTGCGGTGGCTCGTATGGAAAATATTTCTGTCACCACCTCCTGCACATGCGGTCTTCAGAGATGCATACAAAGAGCAAATCTCCAGCAGCAGCAGCAGCGCTGCCTGACAATTATCCTCGTTAGCAAGAAGAATAAAAGCAGCGCTCTGTTCTTACCTGGAAATGAATTTGTGCAGTAAACGTGCAATGTGGAATGTTTTAGCGCTGTGATCCTTATGCCAAGTACTTTAAACTGTACTGTCCTTGTTAGTTTTCCAGCTAATACCCAGGCAGAATAGGAAAAATGATTTGTTTCTATATCGATGAATCTTAGAGTATAGGTTTTTCTAAGGGTAGTGAGTTTCTCTCTTTTATTATGTTCCTATGGCTGGTTTTGAAAATGAAATAGTAAAAAAATACACTATATCCACTGTCGATACAGTAATTCTTTGTCCTGCCTTGTAAGAGACCACCGGATAATCTTGTGCATTTCCCCGTTCCAGCTGCAGAATCTTGGCTACATAAATATTATTTCTCTAGGAAATTGCTCAATTAGGATTTTTCCTGTGGTGGATAGATGATGAACTAAATGGAGGAAAAATAAATGAGAAGCCACTTTTAAAAGGAACCTGTGTCGTCCTTTTGTGTCCCTTTAAAGTGTTCTGTTTACTTCTGTGAACATTTTGATCTATAGGTATATATTTTTTTAAAGTTCAATTTATGAAACTATCAGTATGTGATAGGTTATGAAGTCAATTC